AGTGTTTTGGAAAGCTCTTGAGATGAGCTACAAGAATATGCAAAAGCATATAGGGTGTCCCATTTAAAAAGTTGGAGCTGACCTTCGCGTGTCCTTCAGGTGGCTCTTCAAGATCAAACTAATAACACCATTTTATGTCCCCCTTGAAACCATACAACTTTCGTCTGAAACATTTTTTAAATATCTCGCTTTGTTTCCGAGAAATACGCCCGCGTCACTATAAATGCCTCACCCTGTATATATACATGTGTGTACAATTATATAGAAAATATAAGAAAATTATAAAAATTATAGAAAATTATAAATAATTATATAATTACAATTTATAGATACAATTTAATAATTAGATGTTATCAGTATCGATATTCTTAATACATTAAGAAATTATTGTTTTTATTATTTACAGTAATTGATATGACATATGTCAAATTGAAAATAAGAATGTTAAAAATTATTTAATTTAAATTATACTTTCTCTCAATATATTAATTATTAGATACTAGTAACATTTAAATTTGAAGTTGTATAACTTTTAAGAACATACAATTTACAAAATAGAATACTAATACAATTTAAAAAATATTACAAATCTACAACATTAAATATTATATATAAATGCAATTTAAATGTAGTTATACACTTAAGTTACATTTTTATAATTATTTATAAATTAAATTTTTGATTTTCATCCTACAATCTTTCTTTTATAATTGATTTTAATTTTTTATGTACAATTTATTTAATTAAATTTATGAAAGATATATTTTTAATTTTTTTTCCTAAAAATTAATTTATTTATACAGCTATATATATGTTCTTTAATTTTCAACTTTTTTTTAAATGCGAATATTCATAACAAACCTAGTATTCCTACTTAACGGCTCTAACAAACCTAGTTTCCCTGCCTAGCCGCCCTAACAGAGAGACCTACCAGATCTATTTGCTCTACCTAGCGGCCCTAATACTAGTCCCAACAGATCTGGTTGCCTATCTAGCCTATTTTTTGACTTACACTAGTAAAAACTTGTGATTTAGAAAAACCTAATCGAGAATTTACGATAACGTGAGATTTAAGGAGTCCTAACCAGAAATTCACAATCACATAAGATTTAGAGAGTCTTAATCACGCAATTCAATTTGGACCGAACTTCGCGTGTTTTTAATTGCGTGTCATCACACGCACCTATAAATAAGAAAATATTTTTTTCTCACGCATATTTTCTGGCCAATATCAATCACTTTTCAACCCAGTGAGATTTACTTTTATTTTTGGCCATTCATTCTGATAATTTTTTAATATTAATCGCAAACACATTTTTAAATGGAATTTGTGACGGAGCGTTTTGTATTATTATTTTGCTGGGCGAATATCGACACTCAAATGATAGCAAGACCTTATGATATAAACAATAGTGCTCTATAATCGTCAAGGCCGAATACCATGTTGTTGTCAATTTGTTGCCGAATTATTTTACGTTTAACATTACACACACACACACACACACACACACACACACATGGAATATTAAATTATAGAAATAGTTTAAATTATAAATTATAATTATTAAATAATTATAATATATTACCAATTTTTTCATTATGCAAATTGTTCGATTTTATTATTCGATTATTTCACTGCATATTTTGAATTTAAATTATATTTAAATCGTCCAAAAGTCGAATAGTGTAGCAGTGAACAAAATATCTGATTTCAAGTATTATTGGAGAAATAATTATTGTTCGGAAGAATTGCAATAAAATAATAATATAAAAATTTATATATATATACATATACATATATATATATCAGTCATTCCACGTCAACTGAAACACCTGTCTGCCCAAAATTTAGCGCTGTTTCCAAGAACGAGTGACAGCTTAAAAAATTCGTCTATTCAAGAGCTTTCAAAAGATGTGTGGCATTTTGTAAAAATTAAAAATGGCGGATCTACTATAGCGCCTGGAACTGCCGAAAATTGCATGAATTTCCCGATAAATCTTAGACATTTCCTTTTAGAAGATGAATTCAGGCTAAAAAGACTGTTTTTGAAGGTAATCGAGATCACTGTTCATGAATCTGAAGTCAGGTTCAAACGAAATTCAAAATGGCGGATCCAAACTCACTTGATTTTAGGTCAACTTATACGATTTGTTACAGACGTCATACTGGATCCGCCATCTTAAATTTTGATTATCTCTTTGTGTTAATAAATAATGAGCTCAAATACTTTGAATTAGGTCTTCTCAAACCTGATTTGATTATTTAAAAAATAATAACAAGGGATTTTCGAGAAATTCATGCGATTTTGAATTCACGCGGTCAGCAGTTTCAGGGGCCATATTGGATTCGTCATTTTGAATTTCAATGATCTTACTTCAGATTCGTTAACGGTCTCCGAATACTGCTGATTAAGTTATTTCGAGTTTGATTCAAACATTCAGAAGATAATAACTAGGAATTTTCGAAAAATTCATAGGATTACAGCAGTTTTAGGCGCCATTTAGATCCGCCATTTTAAATTTCGTTAACCTGACTTCAGATTCATGAACAGTGATCCCGATTATCTTCAAAAACGTCTTTTTAGCCTGAATTCATCTTCTAAAACGAAATGTCTAAGATTTTTCAGGAAATTCATGCAATTTTCGGCAGTTCCAGGCGCTATAGTAGATCCGCCATTTTTAATTTTTACAAAATGCCACACATCTTTTGAAAGCTCTTGAATAGACGAATTTTTTAAGCTGTCACTCGTTCTTGGAAACAGCGCTAAATTTTGGGCAGACAGGTGTTTCAGTTGACGTGGAATGACCGATATATATACATATATATGTATATATATATATATATATATATATATATATATATTTTATTCTTTGACTTGATTAAACGAATCATTAAATCATTTAACATACGCGTTCGAAATCTATCTTCACAATAGTGTTAAAATCATATTATTCTTAAAGTTAATTAATTATTAATCATGATAATCAGCAAATTATTTCTCGATATCGTGATCGCATTTCAAAAAAGAATTCCACAATCTATAGAATGTTTTACATCTCATTACCTTCTTGCTCAAGTGTCGCCGAGTGAATGACAACATGCTAAGCGCCTATGATAACAGTAACATATCGCAAAGGCTGTAAAGGCCAAATAACGTTATAGTTAATTAAGATTATTGTCTTGAAATATTTAATACTTTAAACATTACTTTATGATATAAACTTTATGATATAATTAATGCTGGACATTTTATCTCTTATTTTAAATTAATAAATAATGCTATTTTATCGCAAGTAAAATCTAATTATCTATATTATTTTATTTTGATTCAGAAACTACTTGTAAATATCATATATCTTGTGTCTTATCAAATTTTCAATTTCTGAAGGAAATGATTTTATTTGACGTTAAAAGAATAAAAAATATTTCTTATAATAAATCAATATAATAAAATTTCGACAATAAGATTCTTTATTAACACGGCAATCTCATTTAATCGAACATGAAAAGAACGCGGAAAAACGGTATTTTCGTAACCATAATTTATTTCATGAATATTCAGTTCCGCGCGATATGGAATTTATAAATAGATTTCGAATTTATTGACGACTCTTTGATATGAAAATACAAACAGTTACTTTTTTATGAATATTTCAAAAATATATACTATACTATAGAATTAAATATGTAAATTTAATGAATTACTATTATATAATCATTATATGTATACTTTGGATAATTTTTCATGTAATTTGTATTGGATAATTTTTCATGTAATTTGTAAGAATGTATTCATGATATTTCTTAATTATTAATAATATTAATATTAAATAGATAGAGAGATGAATTGTAGTTTAATATTACTGGCAATAACGAAAGAAATATTACTGAGATATTACTGATTGAAATAGTCAAAATTATTAACTGATTCTTTCAATAAAATGTCACTGATTTACAGTGCTGTACTTATAACTGCTATAATCAGTGACTATTTACTGTTTTTCAGTGATAATAGACTGATTTACTTTTAGACAGTGCTTTATTCAATAATACTATTAAATATATTATTATGGTAAGAAAAAGACGTCAAAATATGGTACATTTTATGATGTCAAAATGCGGTACATATCAGGACATCAAGAATCTGTGACATTAGATCGTCACTTTTACGTCACAAAAACGTCAATTCGTGACGTCAAGAATAGTCAGTGAATGACTAATTTGAAACGTCAAAATGACGTGTGCTTGTTACCTGAGTTAGTACTACAGGATTCCTTCGCGATAGTAAAAGAAAATAATTAATATAATCTTTATCGGAAAAAATCTTACGAAAACATAATCGATGTTGTATGATCCTTTTTTATTAGATTTAAATAGGCTTTGATAAATTATGAACTCCCAGGGCAAGAGAGAAATTTTAAAAGTTTAGGTTTAAATTTTTCTTTTCCCAGATGATATACTCCCCACCAAGGAGAATCTTCATTGCTAAGAGAATAGTACAATACTTTTAAACCTTGAGAGTATGTCCATTCTTTTCACCATGGCAAAAGCCTACGAGATTTAACAAAAAAAAATTCTAATATAAAACAACACGACAAGAAAGTAGCGAATAAGAGCCACCGTGGATGGTAATGCGTAAATTTTAATTGTTCGCGATAATTTAAACGAGCACGAGATGTATGCATATGTTTCACTTGGTGCATTTACCAAGATATAGATTCTCATTTTTGAGAATTCTATAAACCCTCTTTACCCTCCTGAAGAGATGTAGACAAGAAAAATATTGGGGCGATATTTAATTATATATTTAATTATAATATAACATAATTTAATTATAATTATCTATATATTATGAATATAATTTACACTTTCCTTTACTTCATGTTAATAAGGAAATATAAACATCAATGAATTGCAGACCAAAATGAATCCATGTAAATGCACGTGTATTTAATTATATATTATTAACGTACATAAGCATAAATAATAAATAAAAACTATAAACATTATAAAAAGCTATTTGTCAAAAAGATATATAGATGTATTTGCGTCACAATTGTTACTTCTATCAAACGGTTATTGTTGATATTTGACAAAATTTTGAAAGTAATTCTGTTGACTTTTGATTTCGAAAAAGCGCATTTGTAATTTGCTTACAATATTTGAAGTATATGGCTGCATACATGTGAAATTTTCTGCTAATTCTGTAAAGCATGTCTAAAACAGATTATATCGGCAATAGTGTAAATAGCCAATAATTATTATAAAAATTATATTAAATATTATCTATTATGTGTGTATATATATATATATATATAATATTAATATATATATATATATTTAATATATATATATATAATATTATATATTATATATATTTAATATATATATATATATATATATATATATATATTTAATATATTTAATATATATATATATATATATTAAATACATACAATAATAATAATCTTAAATGTAATAGAAATAAATAATAATTATGGAATTATGAAAATTACAAATTTGCTGAAATGAGAATAAAATCATTCTTCTATTGTACGTACTGCGTGTTCTATTATATTATGTGCATAGTGTTGCACTATATTTTACTTAGCAACTTTCTTAATTACAAGGAGTACTTATAAATAATAGTTAGATAGTTACTTTGCAAGTAACTTTTAAGAAATAAAAATCAAAATTTAAAATTAGAAATTTTAAAAACAAAATAAAATTAGCAATTTATATGAGCTGCAGCTCTCACAGAGATAACATCATTATAATATTATAATATTATAATTGTTACATCTAGCAAGAACATTAATCTTTTTAACTCATCCATCTTTATTAAATTTTTATTTTAGTAAACAAATGGCTCGTGTAATATTAAAGTATGCAAATCACATTACGTAATATTTTCTCAATTATATTGAAAAACATTTAAATTTATTTAATTAAGGGTGGGTTGTTCCAACGTCGAGTAAATTTAATCTTGTTGGTAATTATATCTTCGTCTCTTTCAGATAAGTTCTGAAAAAAGAGATGGAGATAGAGTTACCAATGAGATTAAATTTACCCGACGTTGGAACAACCCATCCTAAGAGCTGAACATCTAGAATAATTAAGATTTAAATCTAAAACTTGTAAATTTTCTTTTTAAAATTTATAATTCGATTTTCACTAAAATTTCCAAGTAAAGAAATTCTCTTTCTCTTTTGCTTTCGCTCGCTCGCTCATTCGTTCTCACTTTCTCAATCATTAAAAATTGCATGTTTCCAAAATAATATATTTTTGGAAATTAGAAATAAATATATGCTTATTTTATAAAAAAATTAAATTACATTAATTTTTGCTTGTTATTTTAGGACACTGTGACATTAATATATTCTGTATGAAAACAGAACAATCAATGATTAATAAACGAAATATTAGTATAATAATGTTCATAAAATTTACCTCTACTTTCATATTTCTTTCATTCAAAAAACGCGATAACTTCTTACATTCATTTAATTTAACTTGCATTCCATTAAAAAATTTATCTGTTAAGAAGTCGTTTATCTAAAACAAATTATTTTGATGATATTAAACAGCAATATTTGATGTCGCATCATGGTTATTTATTTTACACACACACACGCGCGCGCGCGCGCGCACACACGCACACGCACACGCACACACATATATATATAAGCACATGCAATTTTTACCTTTTGGAGTTGATCTGTGGAATACACATGATTAATAATTACAGTAAATGTTGCATACTCGCTGATTTGTCTATAACAGTAAAATAATAAGTTTATTGATACACACATAAATTGTTGAATGATAGATATATATTTACGGAGAGAAAATTGTATTACTTAGGTTTTATATTCTTAAGATTGTGTAATATGAAATCGAGTACTGCAGGAGTCCTTGCATGCTTCGCGATAGTAAAAAGAAAATAATTAATATAATCTTTATCGGAAAAATCTTTTAAAAATATAATCGATGGTGCACTATCATGTTTTATTAGATTTAAATAGGGTATGATAAATGTTGAATCCTCAGGGCAAGACAGATATTTTAAAAATTTAGTTTTAAATTTTTCTTTTCCCAGACGATATACTTTCCACCAAGGTGAATCCTTCATACTTTCATTGCTAAGAGGATAGTGCAATATTTTTAAACCTTGACAATATGTCCATTCTTTCCACCATGGCAAAAGCCTATGAGATTTAACAAAAAACAAATTCTCATATAAAAGTTTTGCACATATTAATCTTATATTTTGATTAAATAATTTAACAAATTATGATTTTATAACATAATCTAATAAAGTTAAATTTTGACCGAATAATGTAACAAACATTGCACATGTATCTACAAAACATTTAAATTAAAATAATCGGAAATATACAAAAAAAAATACGTGTTCTTTTCTGGATTCTCGAGATGTGAAATTAAGTTATGTTGGGCTGTTTCTATGCATATGCGACCATCAAGATTACATGCCCATTTCGCAGCCTCCATTCTCAAACTCTTTGTAAGATCGTGTTCATTAGAATCAAGTTCATTGTATTTAAGTGAATCAAGCAACTTGTTTAGTAAGATTAGCACTTTCACCTAAATATATAAATATATATATACATATATATATATATATATATATATATATGTACATATATATGTATTTATATGTATTTAAACAAGTATTGAGAAAAGCTCTCTTAAATTTTAACAATAAATAGAAAGGTCATAGGCGATAGAGAGCATGTAAATAATTAGATAATCAAGATTAAAATAGAAAAATCATAATTTAATAAAGCAAATTAAGTACGATAAACATACAAAAATTAAAGATAAGAATATACATAAGGTACGAACGTTTCTGGCTCTCGCTTTGAGCCTTCTTCAGCGCAATAATAATAACCAACAGAAATTAATATAAAAACTAATAAATCATAAATATAATAAGGTATTGAATAACATATAAATAATGATAAAATCGCAACGTTAATAGACGCTTATCGAAGTAATGGATCTTCATGGTAAAAAATAGAAACCTTATTGTGCAAGTGTAATTGGTGTAGAACAGAACACTTGTCGCATCCAAGTTTTCACCATAGGAATCTTGACCGTATTATCAAAATCCTTTTAGACAATTGCTATTCCTTGAGCTTCATATTTGAAGTCATAAGCCAACGACTTAGATTTTTGTTTATGAATCGTGATCGCGGTGATCTTGGGACATTGAAAGATTCTTCCACGTTTTTCACAGTCCCATACTTGCCAAACTTCACTGAGCGGTTTAGAAGCGTCACAAAGAACTTGGACATCAAACTTTCCTATACCCGCCTAAATAAATTAAACAAGTTCATTAAAGTACATAAAGACTACATTCCCTCTAACCAAAAAACCAATGTAGTTTATAAAATTAATTGTTCGGTTTGTGACGCTTCATATATTGGCCAAACTTCGAGAATGCTAAAGACGAGAATATCGGAGCATAGATCGCAACTTAATAGAAATTATACTACTCGCTCTGTCGTTACAAATCATAGGCTACAATACGATCATGATTTTTGTTGGAACGACGTTAAAATTCTGGATGAAGCTCCTTTTTACAATAGAAGATTAATTTCTGAAATGCTTTACATCAAGAGACAAAAGAATGGTTTAAATTTACAGACAGACACAGAAAATTTACCGTCTTTATATCATGATATTATAAACAAGCTACCGAAAATTTGAATGTCATGTTCGGGTATATATATCAGCCTTCTCATCGGCATTTCTAACAGTAACTGTTTCTCACGTTGAACCTTATTGTTTCTCTCCATCTTTCGTATTATCGTTGAACAGTCTCTTTGTAAGTATTTATATTGTCACACAGTATATTATATGAATTGTTTAAAATACCGGATCATGCCATTTTCAGGCTGCATTTGGTACTGTTGTCGAGTTTCTGTTCTACACCAATTACACTTGCACAATAAGGTTTCTATTTTTTACCATGAAGATCCATTACTTCGTCTATTAACGTTGCGCCGATTGCGATTTTATCATTATTTATATGTTACTCAATACCTTATTATATTTATGATTTATTAGTTTTTATATTAATTTCTGTTGGTTATTATTATTGCGCTGAAGAAGGCTCAAAGCGAGAGCCAGAAACGTTCGTACCTTATGTATATTCTTATCTTTAATTTTTGTATGTTTATCGTACTTAATTTGCTTTATTAAATTATGATTTTTCTATTTTAATCTTGATTATCTAATTATTTACATGCTCTCTATCGCCTATGACCTTTCTATTTATTGTTTATATGTATTTATATTGTTACTTGATATAAATTTTATATTTTTCGATTCTTGCATTATACTTTGTTATATAGAAAGATATCTTGCGTAATTGTATTTTACATATTAAGATGGTTTATATATTCAAAACATTCTGTCTTTGTAAACAGCTCTGAATTCATTTCACATAAAGATATCTATCTTATATAGCTATACTTATATATACGTATTTATACAAATTTGTTTACACAAATTTGAATTTTTCTTGCGTGCACATTCACACATGCTTAATACATATTCATATTACAAAATATACATACAGAAGTGAATGCATGCATATATTGTAAACATGTAGACATTATATCTATTGTATAAATGTAGACATTATATCTATTGTATAATATAATTTAATAATTTGTTAATTCTTTTGTGTATTAAACACATAGATAATTAATATATATATATGTGTCCTACTAACTTTCTATCTTAAAATTAATGATATTTAAATCGTCATTTTAAATATTATGCTGTGATTAAAAATGATAACAATTTTCCAACTTTTCTCCCTTTTCCTCTCGAATTTCTTATAATATTAGTACATACACTATTCGAATGTTAATTTACAAATATACTTATCTTTCATCTAAAATATGTATATTTAAACCTTTTTATCTAATCAAATTTTTTCTAATTACATGTACAGTACCCGTCAAAAATATATCATCTTTTTTAAGGATAATTTAATTCAAAGTGTATATATGTATTTAATTAATTTTTCTTAAGTAGCTGTGTTCATTATTGAATGAAAAGTCTATTGTTAAATAATCTATATTATACCTACTATTGAAACATGTGACTAGATAAAAATATATACACTTTGAATTAAGTTATTCATTTTGAGTTAAATTATTCTCAAAAAACATAAAGGTGATATGTTTTTGGCCTATACTGTATTTTATTGTATGTATCTTTTTGACAAGCACTTAATAATTATTGTTATAAATGCATACAATATTAATATGTGCAATAAGTAATATGTTTTAGTATGTTGGAGACATCACTGTTGTTTATAATTTGTGTTATTACCTTGATTTTAATATATATTCTTTCCTGAAATAGAAAGATATTGGACAGATATTCTAAAGCTTTAAACATAGGATACCATGCCACGTAGTCTGTTTCTTGTGATAGATATTTTGCAATATTCCAGAATACAGTGGAATTAAGTTGGTTTGTTATCATTAAGTGGAAAGCGTCATCGATAATTTGAGCACGATTCAAAACATGTATTTCCCTATAATTTGTAGAATTTAGATAACTTGCCATTCTTCGCCAGTTCTCGATATCGTAATTGACTCGATAATATCCTGCCGAAAATAAATAAATTGTATATAAATATATATATATATATATATATATATATATATATATACATAATTCTTTCAAATGGTTTATCAGTACAAGTATCTGTTTATACTTTTGTACTTAAACTTTTGTACATTAATAGAGATCAAAAATATATCATAAAGTGAACATAAATGGAAATGCAATTTGTATATTATATTAGGTATAAAATCATTTTGCATGAAAATTGAATATTTCTAATAATTGTGCGTATGTATGTATATATATGCATGTATATATAATGTATGTATGTATATATAATGTATAATAAATGTAATGTATATAATACATAATATAATGAATAACACTTTTAATAATGTAAATCTTTCTCTCCAATGTGTGTGTATGATAAACACTATAAAATGCAATAAATTTATTGCAAACTTACCAGTTTGTTCTGGATTATATACCATAAAGTTATCCGGTCCTATATTATGAATGTTGTAGTTATTTCTCAACTTATCCGATGTAGATATGAAATCATCCGCCGACTTATTTAAATTTGATATCAACCTTTTTATCGGTTTAGTATAATAATAATAAACTTTATAATCTCGTACTATTTCCATTACAATATAATATGTTCGCTTTATTGGAGACGTGAGCAGCGTAGTGATTAGTTGCTTTATACGAGTTAAATCGTATATAGATATTTGAATGTCTACATCCGAAAGGGTTCGAATTCTATTCTTCATAATTTCATCAAAATAGTTAAAAGTTGGCTTGCTAAAGTTACAAAATTTATACAAAATTTAGTGATGTGTTAACGAAAGATATTATAAGCAAATGTATATCTATATATATATATATATATATATATATATATATATATATTATATTATATTATATATATATATATATATATATATATATATATATATAAAGATGCATTTTTAAAAAAAAATGTTTCATACAAAAGTTATATGGTTTTATGTGGCGCATTACACAGTAACATTATTATGACCTCGAATAGCGTTGTCAAGATTATGTGAAGGTCAGCTTCAATTTTTTAAATAGAACCCCCTATTTTTCATTGCATATTCTTGTAGCTTACCTCGAGAGGTAAGCTCCAAAACTATAATAAATTATTTTTCCATAAAGTACTTTTCGAATTATGAAACTTGAAATCATTTCTTAATTTTACATAAATCATAAAATATCTTGTAAAATATTCATTTTTCAATTATCTTAATACTTTTATGCACAAAATAATGAGAAGAATCAATTGGTGTAAAGAAAACATACAGTTGCTTTTAAGAAAAAATATGGAATAGTTAATTGAAAATAAGCTACAAGAATATGCAATGAAAAATAGGGGATTCTATTTAAAAAATTGAAGCTGACCTTCACATAACCTTGACAACGCTATTCGAGATCATAATAATGTTGCTGTGTAATGCACCACATAAAACCCTATAATTATTGTATGAAACAGTTTTTCCTAAAATGCGTATTTTTCGAAATATTAAGGGGTATCCAGACTTTTTTCTAACCCTGTCTATATATATATATATATATATATATATATATATATATACACACACACACATACATACATACATTAATTATATACATATATGTATATATATATATATATATATATATATATATATATAATTATCACAATATAAAATTGTTAATTATATATTATGTTTAATTTAATTAAATATATAATTAATTACATAATTAATCATATGATTTATAGTTTTTATATGAATTTGATGCTACAGTTTAAATTATAATTTAAAAGGAATGGTCAAACTTGATTACTTTTAAAAAATAAGTGTATATGTAAGTTGAAAATATATCTTGAATATTTAATAACATTGAAGGTAAAAAGAATTGTAAATGGTAATAATAAAGATAATAAAGTATGAAAGAAATAATGTAAGTTTAAATAAAAATAAAATAAATAAATTTAATTTAAATGAAAATAGTAATTATAGTAGTATGGTGTATTACTTACTTGTCCTTTACATATATACGAATACTCTGCCAAAATATCTCTTCAGTAATCATTTCTTGTAATATACGCAATACACTGTAAACTATAATTTACATCAGAATAAGAATAAGATAAAGTTATAGTAAATAATAATTAATAATTATAATAAAAGTGCATAAAACGTTACACATCACCGATTTTAACATCATTTGAATATGTCATAGAGGAAGATTTCCTGAGTAATTCCGCGCAAAAAAGTAAATGAGAGGCGACATTGGTTTAAAAGATATAACAAGTTAAAGTATAACAATTTTAATACTTTTCTTAAGCAAATTGATATTAAACACATTAATTATAAACTAATATGATATTAAAAGCATTATGTATGAGGTTTTGCTTACATTCTACTAATTTACAATAAGATGCTCTTTGTACTATATAATGTAATCCAAACAAAATTTTATATTTAAAAAAATATGTTTGCATTATGTTGTACATTCTGGAAGTAGATCCTGCCGTAAGGAATGAGGGGGAGGGAGATGGAACTCATTGTGTCCACGAAGTGTATTTTGTAAGACAAAGCGAAGTTCATTCTACATCTAATCTTTATCCTCGCTGAGAGTTTCGTCTACGCAGGATGTCTCATTTTCCAGTGATATATCTCGTAAATCAATAATTTTAGAGAAAAATGTTTCAGACAAAAGTTAATTGATTCGAAGGAAAACATAAGATGGTGCTATTTGACTTTGGATAATTGTTTGAAGATCACATGAAGGTTACCTTTAATTTTTTAATTTTTTAAATAAATGCCCATTTTTATTGCTTAGTCTTATAACTTATCTCAAGAGCTTTTCAAAACGCTATAAAAAAGTAATTTTTTATTGAGTGATTTTCGAATTGATCTATAAAATATCTAGTAAAATATTCATTTCTCAATTTCTTTATCATAATACTTTTATGTACAAAATAATGAGACGAATCAATTCATCTAAAGAAAACACATAGTTGTGTCTAAGAAAAATATGTAATTTGCAATTAACAATTACATATTCTTTTTTTAAAACAACTATGATCAAGAGACACGGTAATGTCTCGCGCCAAGTTCATGCGAAGCATTGCGCGGCACTCCGTGTATCTATACGCGAGTCGGACAGTTGAAAATAATTTAGATTATCGGATTTCAATAACGACTGAACGGATCGAATTCTTACTAACCTTAATCGATAGAGCGAGTTTGAATTGTATAAAGAAAGTATCTTTATTTTTGCGCTGCGTGATCTATTAACGGAGATATCATAATGCAAAGTCGAAATATGAAAATTTTCAATTAAGAAACGTCTTTATCATCATCATGGTCGTCATCAACGCACATGTACACAACACATAGAAAGAGAAAACGTCCTTTTCCTACTCTCGACAGAAGATTGCGCTAGCGACGCTTTTCGATATTAATGACATATGTCATATGTGTCATTAGTGACATTTATCATTAACCACATTTTGAGTAGTGATAAAGTGCAAGTTATAAATAATAAATAATTAAATTATTAATTAAAAATTGGCAAAAGCCAGTACGGTATGATAATTGGAGCAAGGTAAATAAATATATCTATTTTACAAGCTAAATATAAATATATGTAATATATTAATTATATATACATATATATATATATATATATATATATAATGTAATATTATATATACTTATTCTATATATATTTTTATATAATTTGCTTATACAGGGTGACCCATTTTAACTTAGGCAGCCAAATAACTCGAAAAATAAGCACACTACGAAAAAATGGTTAGAATCAAAATTTCGTCCTTTCGAGGGGGACGTACAATGACGTTAAAATCAGCCCCCCCATCCCTCCCCCTGGGCGGTGAGGGGGGGCAAGTTTGAAATCTTAAATGGAACCCCCTATTTTTCATTGCATATTCTTGTAGCTTATCTCGAGAGCTTTCCAAAACACTATAATTAAGTACCTTTTTATTAAGTACTTTTTGAGTTATAAGGCTTGAAATAATTTCTTAATTTTACATAAACCATAAAATATCTAGTAAACCATTCATTTTTCGATTATCTTACCTTCATACTTTTATGTACAAAATAATGAGAGGAATCAATTGGTGTAAAGAAAACACATAGTTGTTTCTAAGAAAAAATATGTAATTTGCAATTAACAATTCCATATTTTTTCTTAAAAACAACTGTAAGTTTTCTTTACACCAATTGATTCCTCTCATTATTTTGTACATAAAAGTATGAAGGTAAGATAATCGAAAAATGAATGGTTTACTAGATATTTTATGGTTTATGTAAAATTAAAAAATGATTTCAAGCCTCATAACTCAAAAAGTACTTAATAAAAAGGTACTTAATTATAGTGTTTTAGAAAGCTCTCGAGATAAGCTACAAGAATATGCAATGAAAAATAGGGGGTTCCATTTAAGATTTCAAACTTGCCCCCCCTCACCGCCCAGGGGGAGGGGTGGTGGGGCTGATTTTAACGTCATTGTACGTCCCTCTCGAAATGACGAAATTTTGATTGTAACCATTTTTTCGTAGTGTGCTTATTTTTCGAGTTATTTGGCTGCCTAAGTTAAAATGGGTCACCCTGTATATTAAAAGAGTATACATATATATATATATACACGGTGGGCCATTTTAATCGATGCACTCGAATATCTCGAAAACAGCACTCTTCAGAAAGAAATGTTTCAAACAAAAATTGTAGGGTGTGAAGGGGGACATAAGATGGTAGCATTGGTTTGACCTTGGAAAGTCATTTGAAGGTCACATAAAAGTCACCTTCAATTTCTTAAATTGAACCCACTATTTTTCATTACATATTCTTGTAGCTTATCTCGAGAGCTTTCCAAAACACTACAGACAAATGTTTTTTCATTAAGTACTTTTTGAGTTATAAGGCTTCAAAGTTTGCAGTACTTCGATATAAAATGCAAAATATCTTGTAAAATATTTAGTTTTCGGTAGTCTTACCCTAATACTTTTATGCACAGGATAATGAGACAAAACTATTGGTGCAAAGAAAACGTATGATTGTTTATAATAAAAAATGTGTAATTTGCAATGCACTTTTTGTTATAAACAATCATGCGTTTTCTTTGCACCAATAGTTTTGTTTCATTATCCTGTGCATAAAAGTATTAGGGTAAGACTACCGAAAACTAAATATTTTACGAGATATTTTGCATTTTATATCGAAGTACTGCAAACTTTGAAGCCTTATAACTCAAAAAGTACTTAATGAAAAAACATTTGTCTGTAGTGTTTTGGAAAGCTCTCGAGATAAGCTACAAGAATATGTAATGAAAAATAGTGGGTTCAATTTAAGAAATTGAAGGTGACTTTTATGTGACCTTCAAATGACTTTCCAAGGTCAAACCAATGCTACCATCTTATGTCCCCCTTCACACCCTACAATTTTTGTTTGAAACATTTCTTTCTGAAGAGTGCTGTTTTCGAGATATTCGAGTGCATCGATTAAAATGGCCTACCCTGTATATACAGGGTGTTGAAAAATTAAGTGCCATAAATTTGTGTGATGAAAGAAGAAATCAATATAAGCATTTTAAGTATAGGAACCGTGGGTCGGCGACGCTTAGTTACGGCGTGACAAGGGTTTAATTAAATTGTCACAATGTCTGCAATAATTTTATTCGGTTAATTTTAGATGTTTATAATAAACATCTAAAATCTCGATTTCTACTTCTGGGGTGCAATGAAAAATATGATTTATTCCGAACCGGTTGAATCCGAGGAGGATCTGGTCGCTCGTATCGTTGTGGCGTCTGAAACTATCCGACAAACTCCTGGAATATTCCAAAGAACGCGGGAATCATTGCTCCGTCGTTCTGATTTTTGTCGGAACGTTGGCGGTCGTAATTTCGAACATTTATTATAAACATCTAAAATTAACCGAATAAAATCATTGTATTGCAGACATTGTGACAATTTAATTAAACCCTTGTCACGCCGTAACTAAGTGTCGCCGACCCACGGTTCCTATACTTAAAATGCTTATATTGATTCCTTCTTTCATCACACAAATTTATGGCACTTAATTTTTCAACACCCTGTATATTATAATATATATATATATATATATATACATACTTTTTTAAATATAATATCTCTTAGCAAATTAGATTAAAAAAAGAAGTGATATAATCCCCAAAACTTACCTTTTTAAAAAAAAGGTAAAAAAAAGGGCGCCAAGTCATGTACTAATTGTATCCAACTGTCATATTGTCTACAAAAATAGTGATATAAAAAAATTGCGCCAACTAGAATAAAAATTTGTACAAAATAAATAGTAAAAAAATTTTAATTAAAAAAACTTGGCGCTGCCAATAAAATTGGCATATATTCCAATTAAATATATGTTAACAGCAAATATAAGTGCTGGACATTTATTATTAATTCTCTTAAGATCTTCTGGATTTGTAAATTTAGACTTTTAAGCTGAACAATATATTAATAAAATTGGCAGCGCCAAGTTTTTTTAATTAAAATTTTTTTATTATTATCTTGTACAAATTTTTATTCTTAGTTGGCATAATTTTTTATATCACTATTTTTGTAGACAATATGACAGTTGGATACAATTAATGCATAAACTTGGCGCCCTTTTTTACCTTTTTTAAAAAGGTAAGTTTTTGGGAATTATTTTTCTTTACATCAATTGATTCGTCTCATTATTTTGTACATAGAAGTATTAAGGTTAGATAATCGAAAAATGAATATTTTACTAGATATTTTATAGCTGTGTAAAATTAAGACATAACTTGAAAAGTACTCAATGAAAAATTCTTTATTATAGCGTTTTGAAAAGCTCTCGAGGTAGTCTACATATGTAATAAGTAATAAAAGATATGTAATAAAATATGAGAATATGTTATAAAAAAAGTAAAGATTTTTATTAAAAAATCATTAATGACCTTGACCTGACTTTGACAAGGTCAAGTTCATATTTTCTTCATGTGTACCCCTTCAAGCTACGCAACTTTCGTTCGAAAAATTTTTCAATAAAATCATTGGTTCGCGAGATAATCGACTGTATCACGTATAAAGAAACATCTTGTACATGTAATATATTTTATATATAATTTTATATACTACAGATTCATTACGTATGTATATATGTGTGCATGTGTATAATGAAGAGATTATACAGGGTGTCAAGACCCGTTTTTGTAGTCCCGAAGTGTGCAGGTAGATTGGCTCAAATTAAAAGGTACTATACTATTTGCGACATTTGCAATAATTAACGAAAAATTAATTAAAGAAGATCGCCAATGCGTGTGGTTAGAAGTGCTGGCGGTGAAGACGGTCTCACTTTAACATAATAGCGACACGCGGCGAAACGGAGATTGGGGAGGGAGGAGCGATGAGTGTGTAGGCGCGCGGCGAAGGCTCTTCCCCTCCCCAATCACTGCTGTTTCTGACACCCTGTATATAAAATTAAAATTTTTATCAGTTATTCTATTTGTTTTTTAAGAATTTATTTTCAAAAATTACTCATAATCAATTTTTATTTATATTATCATACCTTTAATGTAACTGTAATGTTCAAAAAAAATGTTGAATGATGTATTATAAAGTGATGTATTATATTCAGTATCGAAATGAAGGGATTCTTGTTGAATTTGTACCACAAACAAGTCCATCATCCGGATACTGGAAGAGTCTATAGAAATAGTTTAAATGTATTTACTTATTAATATTATATTTAACACACAAAGCAATATTCATTAGAGCTGTTATTTTCTACGTATATGTAAAAAAATCTTTATACTTTTATACTCTTAAAATATAGAATAAATAATTTAAAAATATAATATAAATAACAAAAATGATTACTCGATATATAATTTTAAAATTAATTTTTTAAAATTATTAAAATATATTATATAGCTAAATTATCTTATTACACAATTCTATATGTATACATATATTATGTGGAATCTGAATGATAATTTTCTTTTTTTATATTTAATAATTTTAAAGTCGGACAAATGTAATATAGTGACTTTGACACACCCAACACAAATAACGAAAACAAAAAATGTAAAATATTTTAAATTGTATTATCTAATGTTTGTAACATTTACTTGAAAAATTAGCATTATTAAAAAAATTCACTTTACTTTGTAAATATAAAATTTTCGCTTATATATTCTGATTTTATAAAAAAAATTACACGCTATAATGGTAAAATATTTACTTTATAATGGTAAATATTTACTTTTTACACAGCCATCCCCCATACTTGACATATATTGTCAGGGTCACTGCACTGATAAGTATCCAAAAGATTTTAGGATTGCTCGTTGTTTATATAAAAAATTTTTTAATATGTTTTATTTCTTTATAACTTTCAATATAAAAGGTCTATTATTGTACATAGTGTCCAAATTCGGTAACCTTATAAAACTTCTTTTGTTTATAATTTTTTAATAAACACACGAGCGACGCCAAAAATTGTTTGGATGTTATTCAGGGCAGTAACCTTGACAATATATGTCAAGATCGAGTCATTTGAGGGTGGTTGTGTAAAGAT